GGGAGAGGGAGAGGGAGAGGGAGAGGGAGAGGGAGAGAGAGCTAAAGAGAAGGCTCAAGAAGATTCATTCAGGAATGCCATAAAACACTAAACTGAAAGCTATAATATATACATCAAGGATCTGGTGCAAACATGTGCAGGACGTGTGCGTGCTGCCTCAGTCTCTGTGAGTTCATATGAGCTTTGATCATTGTGCTAGATAGTTATATGTCAATTTTACACAAGCTAAAATCATAAGGGGGGGAGATATCAATTAAGAAAATACCTCCAAAGGATCAGCCTATATGAAAGCCTTAAAGGTGTTTTCTTAGCTAGTGATTGATAAGAAAGGCAAAGTCCCATTGTGGGTGGTGCCAAACCTCAGCTGGTGGTACTGGGTTCTGTAAGAAAGCAGGCTGAGTAAACAATATGGGACAAGCCAGTTAACAGCACCACTCCATGGTCTTTATATCTTATCTTGCCTCCAGGTTCCTGCCCTGTTGGAATTTCTGTCCTGACTTTCTCTGATGATGGACAGTGATATGAAAGTGTAAGTCTAATGAACCCTTTCCTCCTCAAGTTGTTTTCTTTGGTCATGGTGTTTTATCACAACAATAGTAACCCTAAGACAATCATGCTGATTGGTTGGCTTTGTTTTCTTGATGTCCTTCACCCCTCTGACTCTTACAGTCTTTCTGCCTTCTCTGCTCTGAGGTTCTCTAACCCCTGAGAAGAGTGTTTTAATGGAGATATTCTCATTAGGGCTGAGTGTTCTAAGGTCATCCACTCTCTGCATAATGTCTCACAGTTGATCTCTGTATATGTTCCCATCTGCTGCAGGAGGAAGCTTCTATGATGATGGTTGAGCAAGTCACTGATCTGAGTATATAAAAATGTCAATAGAAATCATTTTATATCTATTTTTTTTCTATAAGACTAGCATTTAGTTATACCCTATGTCCCTGTGCTATCTAGTCTCAGGTTCTTAGTCATTCAAGCAGAATCAGGTATGGGTTCCTCTTCTGGAATGAACATTTAGTCATATCAGATATTGGTTAGTTATTCCTAAAGCCTTTGTGCCACTGTAGCCCTAGCATATCTTGTGGACAGAACAGCATATTAGATCAAATGTTTATGTCTGGCATAGTGTTCATATTTCTCCTTTGATATTATTTTTTTCATAGATGTGCCCAGCTGCCTGGACTTTATTTAAGAACAGCTGTAGTCAAGTTGACAACCATCACAGTCACCATGTGATCACTGCCCCATCAATCTCTTATGACAAAGGGAAAAATTGGTCCAATTTACCCTGTCTATTCTCACCATCCTAAACAGCTCAAATTTCAGGGCATACACACAAAGTTCTTTACTTTCCTGTACCAAAGGCACTTCTACAGAGAAATGAAGAATCTGTGTAGTCACCAACTTGATGACACCATGTTCAATGAGCTGTAGAGATATTGTCTCCAGTAATGGGCCTTGCTGTCAGTTTGTGAAGAACATTCTATAGTCTTGGCTTCAGCCTGTGCTGTTTGGGAAATTCCCATGAGATTTCTTTGGGCAAGAATTCAATTATATAAAACTTCTTCCCAGTACTGGAAGGTTCATTTGGTGACAAACGATGGCCAGTTAGGGTTTTGTTTCCTCTACTATTTGATGAATTTATTTTGATTGCCTTCATATACATATATATTTTAGCCAATTTCTACTGTATTAGATTCTGTACTACTCCTCAAATACCAATTAATGTTATCCATCTTTTCCCTTATTTCCTCTTTCATTCCCCTCTTCCCTCCTCTTGAGCCCCCCACTCATCTATAACTATCTATTTTATTTCTCTTTCCTAGTGAGATCTATCTGCCCCTCCCTAGTCCTTTATATCTTATATCTGTGGTTCTGCAGATTGTTACATGGTTATCATCAACTTAACAGCGAATATCCACATATACACAGATACATTCCATGTTTATCTTTCTGAGTCTGTTTTTTAAAGATGATTTTTTATTTCCATCCATTTATCTCTGAATTCCATAGTTTCATTCTTTTAAATGGCTGAGATAGACTCTATTGTATAACTTTACCACATTTTCTTTGTCCATTCTTCTGCTGAGGAACATCTAGGTTGTCTACAATTTCTGGTTACTATATATAGGACAGTAGTGAATTTGGTTTAACAAGTGCCTTTGTGGCAAGATGAAGTATCATTTGGATATATGCACAAGATTTGTATAGCTGTATCTTGAGGTAATTTCCCATTTTGTGATTTATCTTCTGTTAATTACATCAGCAAGTAGAAATACAGAAATGTGTGCCTCTTTGAAAAGGAACACAACTTTACCCAACTAGCACATGCCACCTGAGATAATTGGCCATGAATATGAATATGATAGAGGCAGTGATTTAGGAAATTTTTCTTGGGGTGACTGCATTTGGTATTATGTGCTAAAAATACTATGATTATGAAAAAACTAATAAAAATAATAAAACATAAAAAATTGTATATGTGTCCATAGAAATTAGTATCCTTCATTGCCAGCTTATCAATTCTTGAATATAATTGCTTCCATTAAAATGTTTTTGCCTAAAAAGAAATTAATCTGAAAACACTATCACAAAATCTCTCTCTCCCTCTATCCCATTCTTCCTTTTCTTCTCCCCACTTCTTTCTAGACCTCACTATCTTACTATCTTTCTCTGTCTTTGTCTCTGTACCACTTTGTTTCTTTCTTTCTTTTATTCTGCCTTTGTCCCTGTGTCTCTGTCTCTGCCTCTCTGTCTCTGACTTTCTCTGTGTGTTTGTGTATATGTGTGCATGTATGCGTGTATGTTCTCTTTCCTCTCTTCTCTTCTCCTTCCCACTACCCCATCCAATAATAATCAAGTTCATTTTTTTTATATGCAGAACAGACTCATCAAACATCTTTGGAGAAAACTTGGTCTGGAAAGGCCAAATCATATACTACCCTTTCATGTTACTAAAATTTTGTGTTTAACTTGGTAAAAATGTGTCTCTGTGAGCTTCCAAACCTATTTTCATGTTAAGAATCAAAGTGTTGCAGATCTCATACAATGTTCTTATATCTTTTTAGTTTTAAATCTAGAAAATATTTACAATTTCCACACTATAATTTCTATGAGAACATCTACACCATAGCATATAAGAAAATACATACCATCTCATGAGCTGTACAGAGAAAAGATGTATTTCTAGGAAAAACAAACTTTAATGAGACATATTTTATTTTTATATAAAAATATGACAAATAACCATGTATTGGGAAATTTGAGTCATCAAGATTATTAAATTTTCCTTGAAGAAATGCTATATTAACCATGAACTGCATTTTTTTCAATGTTTGGAAAAGATAAGTTTGGTGGTTATTGACTTAAGCTTAAGCATAAACTCTGATTAATTTTATTGATAAATTCACAACTGGAAACAATTTAGTCAATTTTAGAAAGAGTTATAAGTAAAGCAGTGTCTTGGGCTCATGGTGGGGCTTATCTCAGCTTCTCACCTTAAGCTGCATTTACTGAATTTACTAATATCTATCACAAGCCAGCTGCCATCCTGGAAACAGAATCAACTTGACAAAATAAAACAGATAGCATATATAAAAGTGGAAAGACACAGAAGTGAATATTTCAGAAGTAATGTGATATTTAAAAAATAGAAGTATCATTTCTGAGAATGAGTGAATACATCATGAAGACAGGTGACTATAGGAGATCACTGACACATTCAGAGAGTAGGGCTTACTGGAGCAAAGCCATGAGCTGGGATGTAAACACAGAGGAAGTCTGAAGTACTGCCACTTACACAAATAGCCTTTAGAATCTGACAGGAAAGAGAGGCTTTAAATGATATGTTTTAACAAATCTTAGGATAGTCTCATTTTACTTAGACATCAGAGGGCAAAATCAGCAAATATGAATATTCCAGTATACTGGGACTCCCAGCAAAGGCAGAAGAAAAGAGAAACTAGTCATCATATGACTTGGGTTATACACACACACCACCACCACCACCACCACCACCCACACACGCACGCACGCACACACACACACACACACACATACAAACACACACACTACACCACATCATAGACACTACATCACACCA